ATGATTTGTAAATTATAAAATGTAGTAGAGAATAGAGTAGAGAATGAAAGTTTGGTGGGAAAAAAATAGTGTAATGAATGGGTATTTATAGAAGAAAAAAATTAAAAAATTTTTTTAAAAAAAGTGACCAAACGGTCACTGAAGGTCACATAAGTTTTACTTTTTTATTTATTTTTATTTATTTATTTTAAATTTGACGAGCCCACGAGTCGAGCGGCTCGTGGGCTCGCCAACGAGCTGCTCGGTGAGCAGTTCGCCAAGCTGCTCGTGCTCGGGCTCGTGTTTTGACGAGCTCGAATGGCTCGTGGGTCATTATAGTACGAGCCGAGCGGCCGAGCCGACGAGCTGCTCGGCTCGATTGCCACCACTAATTTAATGTAAGGAAATTAGAAAGTTACTATTTTATTCTTTTTAATTTGATCAAATTTTGACTTTTCTGGTTAACTAACAGTATTTGGACGGAAGGTTCATATTTTTATAAGATTCATGACTGTGGGTGGTACAAAGTGAATATTAGGGTAAAATTTGCAGAAAAGTGAAAAGTTAGAGACTACTGCTACTATTTTCCATTTTTTTAGGATTTACAGGGTTTTTTCTTTAATTAAGGCAAAAACGTGTTTTCAAATACGCATGATATGTGTTTTTTGCTATTAAGGATGCCAAATGTGATTTAGCAGGTGTTTAACGGCCGTTAGTTATCATATCAACTTTTTTGTTTGCCACATTAGCACTAAGATAACTAATTTTTTTGGGCTGATGGATAGAGTGCAAACGAAAAAAAGTTTAGTAAATTGGAGCAATTTGAAATTCAATGAGTAGTCCATGACAATAATATAAATTTAATGATTTTTGAAACATTTCACCGTTTTGAATGTATAATTTTGAAATTAGTTTTTGAATTTAAGTAAATTATTCAAATGGAAGGCTAATTTAAGGGCATTAAAGCCTACCTAAAACCGTATAATATAATCTTGAATCTCATCTCATTTCGGCTTTATTATATCCAATTCAAATTAATAATCCAAGCATGAATCCAATCGGATATATTCCAATTTCCAAATATCCCCATTTTATTCTCAAAAAACAACACACAATTTTTATGGCCCGTAAAGTGCGTAATGGCATCCTCTACGTCCTCGGAGCCGTCATCATCTGCGCCACCCTCTACCACCTCTTCCTCTATGACGGTGCCACCATCTCCGCTGTCAGCTACCACGTCAACCCCTCCCCTACCATCCAATCCAATTCCTTTTCCACCTCCGCTGCCATTAACGCCATCCACGAAAACCTTACTGCAAGCATTCCACCACACGTTGGCCCTCTCGTAACTCCATCCCTAGTAGCATCCCGCTCAGTCTCCACCACATCAATTCTTTTACCAGGCTGGGAGGTCCTGGTCATCGTCTCGCCAGAGGACACCAAGTTGCTGGAGTCAGATTCCGATGAGTACGAGTGTTTGTTCAACACTAATGAAGTGTCTCCGGCGAAATCCGCCGGTTTCCTGCCGTTTCCTAATCGGGCAACCTTTAAATGTGTTCTGCCCGTGAGAATTCGACAAAGACGGCCTTTCAAGCAACCGATATTGAAAAAATTATTAGCGAATCAGCCGGAGAAGAATTATCCGCCGTTGCTGTTGCTGTGGACCTTCATAGTGTATGATTCTCTAACCACCGAAAACGACGTCATCCTGTTCGTTAAGGGTGTGAATAATCGGCAAGGTACTAATCGTGACCCGAAAGAATTCCGCTGTGTTTTCGGCAATGGCGTCATCAACGGAGTTAAGACTCCCGTGACAGCCTCCATGCAAGAGGTGTTCCGCTGTCAACGACCAGAACCAACTGCCGTCTCTGCCGTTGGCCAGCAAATCGATGTCTCCATAGAAATTATTGCAGAAAATCGTGTGGTACCCTCAGTTGCTTACTATACCCCACCGCGCAGTTTAGAAAAGGGACCCCAAAAATCTCTACTTTGCGCCTGCACCATGGTGTACAACATGGCAAAGTTTTTGAAAGAGTGGGTTATGTACCATTCCAAAATTGGGGTTGAAAAATTCTTGCTATACGACAATGGAAGCGATGACAATTTAACAAAAGTTGTTGAGGAGCTTGTTAAAGAGGGTTTTGATGTTAAGACTTATTTCTGGTTTTGGCCTAAAACTCAAGAGGCTGGTTTTTCACACAGTTCTGTATATGCTAAGAATGCTTGTACATGGATGATTTTCATTGATGTTGATGAATTTGTGTACTCTCCATCTTGGCACCGTTCGCCACGACCATCAAAGTCCATGTTGCAGTCGTTAATCTCGCCTGAGAAAGTCTCGACCAAGTTGAAATTAGGACAATACAGTATCAATTGTCACGAATTTGGCCCTTCGAATCAAAGGACACATCCAGTAATGGGGGTGACACAAGGGTACAATTGTAGGAGAAAGTATGAGAATCGACATAAATCGGTTACATTATTGAGTGCAGTTGATGATTCGTTGATCAATGCGATACACCATTTTGGTTTGAGGCCGGGATACAAAACAAGAAAGCTGAGGACAAAGGACATGGTTGTGAATCACTACAAGTATCAAGCTTGGCCCGAGTTTAAGGTCAAGTTTAGGAGGCGTGTGTCCGCTTATGTTTTGGATTGGACGAAAAAGGTAAATCCTAAGTCCAAAGACCGGACCCCCGGATTAGGGTTCTCGCCAACCGAACCCAATGGATGGCATCAGAAGTTTTGTGAGGTGCACGATGATGAATTGAAAGAGTTGACACGAAAATGGTTCGGCAATAAATCGCGATTAGGATTTCAAATGCCATGGCAGATGACTACGACTAACAATGGTTTCCATAAGCCCTAAATATTGACAGGGTAAATACAGCTTGTAATTTAATTCCTTTAGTGACTGGAATAAGTCAATTCAATGCTGCAATTAGTTTTAGAGATTCTTAATTTAGTATTAGCACAACTTAAATATGGAGGAAAAGAATAAATAAAATAAAGGGTAATTTGCCCATTTAGCCTAGTTGGAAACTGGATTCGATGAAATGGCCTTGGACCAATAATAAAAACAAAAAAATAAATATCTTAGTTAGGAAAATGGTAAAATTCTCCTTCAATTATAAACTCAATAACCCCCAATTTTTCTCATTTCATTCAATCATGTCTCCTCCCAATTCACTATAAAACCCTAATTTCTATTCTTTTTTGAAAATAACATCTTTTTTTCCATTTTCATCTCCTTCAATTTTAGGTCTTCAAAATCACAATCACCCATTTTCTTCTCTTCAATCATCATTCTTGCTACCCAAAAATCATGTTATTTATTATATTCTTCACTTATTTTTGGTATCTTTGGAGTTTTTGAACAAGAGTTTGGTTAGCGTATCATCTACATTAAAAAATCACATTTACGTTTGAAGAAAGAAAAAAGAAACTTCTAGAAATTTCATGTAGGTTGTACTTTTATTATTGAATATAGTATTATGGCATTATAGTTGTTATCTACTGTGATATGATTTTTTCAACGAAATGACCTCTGACAATGGACTCATTAATATATATATATAACACAGAAAAATTTGACTATGTCACAAAGAACGATTGAAATGACATAACTTTTATTATTGAGATTGTGAAAGCACAAGTCGTACTATTCATATGTGTCGATTAAGTTAAAGAACATATTTCTCACATTTTGTATGTGCCATGTGCATGTTACAATATAAATAAGTTTCACTTATTATTTTTTAGTGCACGAATGGGTCGTTGTTGTTTACTCGTGATTATAATAGCATAAGTATCGTTTTCATGTCCAGTAATGACATTTGTATCGTTTCGAAATTTTCACCTATATTTTGATTTTTTTTAACAAAACAATGTCCTATAATGGACTACATAACGTATATTACATAGAAAGTTTGACCATGTCATAGATAACATAAATGAATTCCACTTATTGGTTCTCGGGCCACGAATAAGATGCAACTGCTTATACTCGTGTTTACACATATAACGACACAAGGGCCATTTTCATCTTAATAACGACAATTGTGCCTTTTTGTTGATTTTTCCTACATTTTGATTTTTTTTAATACAACGACATCCAACAACAAACCTCCTAACATATGTGAAACATAAAAGTTGATCATGTAACAGAAAAAAAAATAGAAATGATATAGATTATATGTTATCCAACAACAGACCCTCTAACGTATTTTTGTCGTGGTTATTTTGCAGATTAGATTGTGGGTTCTTTACATTGAAATGCATAAAATTTTTACAAGCTTGGTTTAATATATGTTTGATTTGTCCAAAATATATGTCCACTTGGAAGAACTTAGTTGCGGAAATATTTGCATGGCACTTTGATCCGTAGATTTAGTTAATTTTTAAAGTTACCTTTTCTCCTTACTTTTCAAGAGATTGATTTTTTAGTTGTACATGATCGATTTAAGTGAAATGATGTATGTGTAGTTATAGTGTCGATGTATTTTTTTTAAGTTAAATGTTTGCGTTTGAGTTATACATGTCTTTCAGATTGTTGTTATCCCATGATAACGACACATGTGACGTTATTACAAATATAAGTATTCGTGAGAATGGCACTGACTTTTAAGAGGGATATGAGAATTACGCAAGTGTAGTTATGTTTGTTACAAGATTTCATGAGAACGGAACAAATGTCGTTATTGAGATGAAAACGTTTATGAAAATGGCACAAGTGCTGCTATGTTTGTAAATATAAGTGTCCATGAGAACGAACATGTACCGTTACTCAGATGAAACGTCTATGAGAATAGAACATGTGCCATTACTTACAATAAGCAGTCAAACCCTATCAGTATCCTTAGAATGATATAGGAGAAATATATGAGAATGATTTATGCTTTCACCAACTCAATATCATATAATTTATATCATTTCAAACATTCTTTTTCACAATTAAGATTTTTCATGTAATTTATCAAAAAAATAAGAGAAATCGACGGAGCGGCAAATGTGCCGTTACTGAGCAGAAAATGACTCTTCTGTCATTCTATTTATAAACACGTTTATAATAAGTCATGCACCATCCGTGCCCCAAAAAACAATAGGTTAAACTTATTTAAGATGTAAAACGAACATTACAATTACAAAAGTTGAGAGATGTGTTCATTACTTATATTCTCATAAAAACAATAGAACCATTTCTGCTTTCATCAACTCTATCATATAATTTATGTCATTTCAACCATTCTTTGTCACATGATCAACCTTTCTGTCTTACTTACTCTTCTTACTTACTCTAAGTGTCAATTGCTTGATATCGTTGCATTCGAAATAAATCAAAATATAGAAACGGCACAAGTGACTGAGAAAAAAAGGCACTTACATTATTCTATTTTTAAACACGATTGTAAGTAATTAGGCTCCATCTGTGCCCCAAGAAACAATAAGCTGAATTTATTTAAATTGTAAGATGGACATGATATGTATAAAAGTTAAGAGATATACTCATTACTTGTATTCTAATGAAAACAATAGAACCATTTGTTCTTTCATCAACTATATATCATATAATTTATGATGTTTCAACCGTTCATTGTCACGTGATCAACATTTTTGTCTTACGTACATTAGAAATCCAATATTTGAGATCATTGCGTTAGAAACAAATCAAAATATAGAAATAATTCAACAAAACGACACAAGTGACGTTAATAAGAAGAAAACGGTGTTCTGTCGTTTTGTTTGTAAACATGATTATGAGCAACCATGTCCCATCGTGCCCCGATAAGTAATAACTTTAAGTAATTCAAGTTGTAAGATGGACACGACATTTAAAAAATTGAGATACATGCTCATTACTTATATTCTAATAAAATAATAGAATCATGTGTGTTTTCATCAACTCCATATCATATAATATATGTCATTTCAATCATTCGTTGTCACGTGATCAACCTTTTTATTTTACGTACGTTAGGGGTCCAATATTTGAAGTCATTGCGTTAGAAACATATCAAAATGTTAAAGAAAACAAAAGAACAACAGAAGTGACGTTACTGAGAATAAAACAGTGAGAACAGAAAAAATGTGTCGTGCCGATATCATTGTGTCGTTCTGTTTTAAATACAATTATAAGTAGCCACTCCCCATCCGTGCCTCGAAAAATAATAAGTTGGACTCATTTAATAAGATGAAAATGACATTTACAAAACTTGAAAAATATACTTATTATTTGTATTCTAATGAAAATATTAGAAACACATGTGCATTCATCAACTTTATATCATATAATTTATGTCATTTCAATCAATCTTTGTCACGTGATCAGTATTTATGTCTTGCGTACGTTAAGAGTCCAATGCTTGAGGTCATTGTGTTGGAAACAAATTAAAATATAGAAGAAATCAACTGAACGACGCAAATGAAGTTACTAAGAAAAAAAGCTCGTGTCGTTCTATTTTAAACACAATTATAAATAGGCCTGTCTCATCCACGCCCCAAGAAACACCAAGTTAAATTCATTTAAGTTATATATAACCGTTAATAGTTGTACTATCCTTTTTTAATAGAACGACTGCACTGTCTTCCACACTGCAGATAGTGCCGTTATCATTTAGTAGTTGCAAAAACACAAAATACAGTAAGCCTCCGTTTGGTGCATATTTTTGGAAAAAGAATGTATTTTTACTGTTGATGTGATAGAGAATATGTGGTTGAAAAAGAAAGAAAAATTATTGATGTAAAGGAAAATATTATTTTATCGAAAAATGTATGGTTAAAAATAAGAATGCAAAAAATAATGTGGCTAAAACAGGGCCTAAATACGAAAACTAATATATTCTAAAATATCATTCCATATAATATTCAATAATAAAAATACAATATACATGGAATTTGTAAAAATATATTTCTTCTTTCTTCAAATGCAATTGAAATTTCAATGTAGATAATATGATAATCAAACTATTGTTCAAAATGAAGAACGTGATTTTATTGTAGATATCACAAAAGCTAAAGAAAAGAAAACGATTAAATATGATTTTGGGGGGCCCTAAAATTGAATTGGAAATTTAATTGAATTGATAAGGGAGTTAATGCATTTTCAAATTATGGTGATATTTATAACAATTGACATTATTTATTTATTGTATTTTTATAACTGGAGGTCATTTGACCAAAAAATATTGGGAGGATGTTAATTAATTAAATACATTGTTTGACTTATGCTAAAGACGGTTGTATTTTCCATTTTTAGGAAGAGATAGGATCATTCACATTTCTTTTGAGTTTTTTTTTTGTTTTTAATGTTTTAGGGACTAGACAAGAACAAGAGAAAATGATCGCAATGTCAAGGAAAACCCTACTTCTTGCGGATTTTGTTCGATTTCACTAGCTACATACAAAGTTGGTTGATTTTCAGCGTGAATATATATATTAAAAGTGGCTATATAACGGAATTTCTTGTTTTTAACGGAAAAACTAACGGAATTTGTTGTTTTAACGGACTATGTAACGGAATTTCTTGTTTTAAACAGGTAGCTGCACATTCTTTCAGTGTTTTTATCA